CACACTAGTAACCGTCTGTTCCATGGACACGAACCCCCTGCTGTGAAAAGCCGCATCGGCTGCAAAAAGAATTTTCAGTGTGTAATCAACGTAACAAACATGCCAGATTATCTTGATTGCAATGATTCTGAGTAGTGTTAATTATTGAGATTACAGCTTTACAGCTTTCGGTGGGAAATATTGCTGTGATGCTACAGGCAACTTCTAAAAACTAAGCATTACTTCCGATGCAAAACATGTCCTAGTCTGCCGCAAAAATCTTTAACTATGGAATAAGTTTGAAGTGAATAACAAAAGCAGCTCGCTCACTATTTGTATAATCTCCTGCATTATCATTCTTTCAACAAAATCTTCGCATGTTTATTTTCAATCATGTAGAGCCATCTAGTGGACATGGATAGAAATATCTATGAGTACTTCTCTAATTTATAATCAACAATATTTTGAGTAAAAGCGTTTTCTGTCTTTTTTATAAAGACTTCACAGTTCAGTGGTTGTTTTTTTTTTGTATGGCATACAGACTTTTGGTTTTTTAGCTTAAATCCAAGGCAATGACATACGTATGAGGCACATAGTCATGGCTGGCCATACTGGGTTACATGAGGTCGCTTGCAATGGGAAGAGCATCTAAGAGACATGGCATTTTGCGTCACTTTAGAAGAATGAGTGATGTGAGTTTAGAATGGAAGCAGACAAAAGTTGTCGTCTTGTGAGCAGATACTGTTTGATCAAAAGGGCCAAAACGTTTTTTGACTAATATATCCTGAAGTTGTCCACACTGTTTGCTAATAGTTCTCCGGAAAACAGGTTAAACAATACAGCTACTTTTATGCATGCCGACTATAGACCGAACTGCATGGACGTACCGGTCAGTTCTGCTAGGGCAGGCTGGCAGTCCGCCAAGAAGATCGAGGTCGTTGTACAGGCCGAGTTACCGAAAAGTGGTATGCCGCTTTTGGAACAGTACCCACGAGCTTTAGATACGTGTGTATAACACGAAGTTCTGGAAAAATTGAGCCAGAGCCCGTAAGAGTGTTATTTGTGGCCAGATTCCTTGTGATAGCTTACGGGTATCACGGTTAGCAAAGTTGTTCGCCACTTGACTGAAACTCGACAAAACAGCAATCTTGAAAATTCACGTATGAAAAACGTCGTCCCCACCAGCCAGAGTATTTGGTTGATCCCTTGGGTAATTCTTTCCGCAGAATGTTTTTTTTTGATACTGCAATAATGCCCTAAAAAATGGACTAAAGAAAAAATGTTACTAATTCAGCTTTCCAAGACGGACAGTTTTTCCTGACGATGTATACTAAAAACTTCGATTCTATCCACTGGTTAATAAAGTAGCTGTTTTTAGGAAGGATATATGTAATAGAATTAATGAGAACCAACACTACCAGAGTAGAATACCTATTTTATGTGCGCTAAACGAGAGGCACAGGCACGCCGGTTGGACTTACTACTATTGTCGAGACTACTACTCACCAATTTTTAGTTTCTTTATCAAGATTCACACCGAATCACTCTAGATTTTCATTTAATAGTACTACAGCCTGAAAAGAAAGAGTGGCTAGTGCTACTGGATTATCAAGCATTTCTGGGTAGCATTCTATCGTATGTTAGGAGTTAGCCCAGGAGAGACCCTTGTGGAACCCTTGCTGTCACAGGTAAAATAATTTCTCCATTGACAACCGATTTGTCCCGTAAGTTACGAAGCAGCCCTGTATGCCACCATGTGGTGGAACGTTCCGTTGGAGCATTGCATCTTTTAACTGGGTAAGTTCTCCAATTTGCCTTTCTTTCTTAAATCTGAAGAAAGCTTTTTGTTTGGCTTAGACAAATACTTTCAGCTGAAACTCCTAGAAAACACTTGGACACATTTGATTTTAATGATTCAAAGATCAGGATGTATCATATTGAGGTACTGCTTTCAGCGGCATGTTTTCTACTTTGAACGGTTGAAACATGATTGTAACCATAAAAAGTTAGGATTATATTAGAGAATAAAATAGATTTTATTACCGTTAGTGTTACACTTCTTGTTTTACTTGCAGCAAATTTTTGGATCAATATTTGCGTAATCATCAGTTTCCAGACGAAGTTTCTGTAGATATCATGCGGAAAATTCTAGTTCGGTAAAGTTTGTATGATCATCATTATTACCGAAGTGCCTTCACTTCCTAGGACTGTCCAAGGTGTCTGTATCATACCCACAACTTCTGCGTCTTCCAAAATTACATCCGGTTGTTTGAACAGATTGTTAATAAGAAATTAATTTTTGAGCTGGATTTAGCATGTATAGGGTCTTTCGATCTTATTTGTGCCCTGTAAAAAACATTTGGAGGCTATGATACGAAATTAATACTACAGGGGATTTCTTATACATTTTGCTCCTATTTTATGCGGGGGGTTTCATTTATACATGATCAGCTAAGAAAACATTCCAGTTAATTTTTTCCAGCAAAGCAATCTGTCACACAATGGGTTATTTGTCACGTGAGTCAACAAAGTGTTTTGATTTGCAGAATTATAGGCTTCTTTTTATTCTATATGCGAAATTTTTATGAAAACAACGAACAAATTTGTTAATTTAAAGCACAAATAATTTTGACCAGGATGTCTCAGTAACCCAATAGTTAGCTAGCAGTCATTATTTATTAGAGTGTAGAAAGCGAGAAATGTTCTCTAAATAATTTCTACGCCAATAAGATCTGATTGTATATCCGTAGAATGAACGCGGCTGGATGATCAAGTCTCTATATCTTAAAATCATACTAGGATTCATACTGAATCGTTTACAGGATATGAGGGTTAATCGGTAAAGAGTAAATACTGAAAAACTTCTATAGAAAAGCGTATAAAAATCAGTCTCTTTATTTTTAAAACTACTCGGCAGATTATTTAATTTATCATATATATTATACATTTTTTGGAAAATTGGACCGATACACTTCACAGAAAATAGCTTATTTTTTCTGAAGTGTCTAATCAAGAATTTACAACACACAAAAGTAAAACTGATCTTGATTTTTAGGTTGAAATAGACTGACGTTTCTCTTATCACTAGTTTTTCAGGAGAAGAAATGTGTTGATGAACGAGTATACTTTGGATCGTTCTGTTTCCAATGCTTGGATAAAACAACTTCAACTTCAAAAACATAAGTAGGTTTCTTCAAAAAATAAAGGATATATCTAAAACGTTCATGGAAACCAAAAGGTTCATGCAGTACAGACGCCCAGTTGTCTTAATTTCCAAAAAGTGATAAAAATAATGAGTCGTACAATATGAAATTTCATTAATAGCAGAATTTCAAAGTCTTGTGGTTGCAGTTTGGGAGAGGTTGAAATCATTACTGTTACCCTTATAGGGCATCTAATATGCCTGTTTTATTTAATTTAAACGCAATGGTGCATACGTAACAGATACAGAATGCTCACACGAGACAATCGACAGTGTCAGTACTAGAGATATGCCAGTCATATCGGTGACAGGCGGTTGATCTCTAATCTCACCGTTATCTAACCGTAGTCATCCGTAGTTATCACCGTAGTCTAACATGGTGCGAGTGTGGTGAGATTATAAAAAGCTCATGTTGACCCAACTAATTCTAGACGACTTTGGGTTACCGGACTGTAGTGGTACACCCTCTACCCCAGCTACCTATAAGTGAGTTTTATTGTAACGGCGACACGGTGTTGTCTCGTAAACAACAGCTTACATTGTTCTCAGGGATCCACTACAAAAGGTGTTTAGTCATAAAATTCTCATCAATCTTACAAAGAATTATCAGTATATTATATTTGCAATCGTTTTAGCCACCTTTAATATTACTCAATAAGGTGGATTCGGGTCTATCAAAGCAGCTAGTGTTAGTTGTTTAGGTTTCGATATAAATATTTGATCACACAAGTTAGTCCTTGCGTATCCCAAGGATCCCAAAAATCTCAAAAGGATTTTTGATCTGACGCACACAATCTTAGCTTAATAGATTGTTAATAGAAACTTGATTTTCAGCAGAGACCACAGTATCTAAAAGCCCTTTCTCGAGATGCTAACCTTATATAATTATGTCAGATTAAGAATAAGCAGATTTCCAAATATTTATACCATATTACATGAGTTATAGATACTCTGTAATTCATACATTGTTTAACTGAACTGTTTCACCAAAGACAGGTAGACAGCATTATGAAATGAAAAGAAGAAATGGAAATAATTGTTTATAGGAGTAGTTGAGCGCACAGATATCCATAAATAGCCACGACTGCGATTAATAGATTCAGCTTCCACGGCGTATTTTTTACATTTTATTTACCGTTTTCTTTAGAATTTCAATTAATATTTTTCAATTCATAGTTATGCATACTTGGAAACGTGATGTACCTGGCACTGATCATAAACGTTTAAACATCGAGATCTACGGAACGATCCTATTTCTAATAGGGCTCCGAAAAACTGAAGGATATGTGGGCGATGATTACATACGTCTCTTATGACTATGTGAAAATTACATATTGAAAATTGATAAACAAAGTGAGGTGTTTGTAAAACACACGCTTATATAATTGAGAAGTTTTGCAGAAACGCACTTCAATACATAAAATGCAAAGAACGATTTGCACTTCGGACCATAGTAGAAAGTACGTTGACAGTTGAAGTTCAGGTGCGAAAAAAGCAAAGGATTGCAGTTGAAATAACAAAAAGGCTTTAATATAAGGCAAAGGTAAGAAATGAGCCAGTTCATAACTATAGGTATGCAAAAGACTACATAACTATTTACAAAATCTATAATTCTGCAAGACTCAATAATCGAATTGAATTTAAAATAAAAATAATAAGAAAACATGAAAGCTACTAGGGTGCATTGTAATATTTGCATCAAATTCAATCAATCTTGGCTCATACTTATTTCTGTCTGTCGGCAAGATGTCATCTGTCGATTCCTTCGTCTGACACCATAGAATAGTCAAGAACAAACATTAAAAATAAACACTGACGGTAAGGTTTTTCAATACTTTTTTCTGAACACGATAAGGCTCTACAAATTAGTTTTTATTGCATCAATATATGTCGATGGGTGCAACATAACCCACAAAACATACATAAGGAAGCTTAATTAAATAATTGAACTAATTATGTATTGTTCTTGAAAAGTTAACTAAAATTACTATATAATGGTTGTAGTAATAATTGTTATTACGTTCGATATAGGTCCATTGTAGTATGCGTTGCATTTGACACACAGTCTGTGACGTCACTGTTGCAGAATAAAAATTGTTGTGCACATATATGTTGTACATATTAATGATTGGTAATCTAATCTCTTACGAGTCTTTCAATTTTTGGTACGCTATTCTACTTTAACCACAAGGCAAAACACTTTCGTGCGCTTAGTATAATGCCATTGTCTATTGAGCTCTTATTAAACACCATACTTTGCTGACATCTTCCAGTCTCAGATGTCACATATTATAACCATGGCACCACGAGTTAGTGGTGCCTGCTTGTACCTCACATGTCTGACTAAGTGTTATGTTAGTCAGTGTACGGCAGATGGAGCAACAAGTAACGCACGCATATCGTCGAAGTCAAGAATTATATGTGCAAAGTTTTTGTTCACCATATGAATTTCAAAGGATGTAGGAAGCGTCTGAAGTCCACCGAATATTGACGACAGCTTACGAATATCAATCTGCACTTCTGCTGCACCACATTCTGAAACAATCAAGTTTCACATATGTTATGCTATTTTTTCTGGCGAAATAGCGATACTTACATCTCGTTCAAGTGGGGATAGGTGGGAATCCGATGGAGCCTCAGCAGTATACGTTTGAATGGCGTAACCTTCGCAACGTTTTCAAAAATTGATCATATTAATCTTTATTGATAATATCATTAATTTATCATACTAATCTAAATCCTTCTTATTACTTAATTATTTTAATTAGCTTTCTAAATTCTTTACTAAAATCGTCTAAATTTGAACGATAGAATTATTCACCTGCTGGATATTGAACTTCCTTAAATGTAGTAGCGACCCGTACTTGCTGGGGTATTTCGGCCGATGCTATAAGCTCTATGTCACCATCGTTGTTTTTGATGATATTGAAGACACACGTGCTTGATATTGACCGCATTCGTTCTAGTAGAATTCGGATTTGCTGTACCTGTTGTAAATCATGCTTGCCGTTTTTAAAGTGTGACACGTATTGTTTATTACGTCTCCTCTTTTCTTTAACTGACACAGTTTCTCATCTTTGCGTAAGGTCTTCTTCGGCATCAGTAGTTACGGATAATTAAGTTTTTTTTTTATTCAAAAAAAAAACATGGAAGAGGTCATCCAACCGCGATGTTATCTCCGACCGAAAGTTTTCTTTGGGGGATACAAAGACGTTAGAAATCTCGTGATTGACGCCAGATCTCACAAACTATATGTTCCCTATTAGAGACTTATTAGAACGAGAGCTCTATGGCTACTTGCTCTTACTTTGTTTCATTCATTTTGCTGGGTCACGTTTATCAAGAGAGATTCACTATTGCGCGCAAGATATCTGTATGTTTCTGAGGAACCTGCTTCATTACGCGTTTTCCATCGATCCTTAGAAGCTTTAGAATTGCTCGTTTTAGTGCAACCAAGTTCTCTGCATTACAAAATCCGAGCTTCGTTAATGGGGTTACGAAAAAAATCGATTTGCTCAGTTCTCTCGCTCCTCAGGTGCGACTTGGTGCCGTCACTGGTAAGGGCTTACTCTATTGAGTTTGCCTGTTGACTGGCCCAGCATTTGAGACACTCGACGTTCGACGCTGATTCGATACGTGGTCATGCGTTACAGTTATGCATGAACATCCGTGCTTGAGCCCAAACATACACCTGAGTAAAACATTTCTTTGGTCGGTGAACGATCCCCACCATCTATAATAGATGGCCTTAGCGACAAACTGAGGATTTTTTCACAACAGGGCAAACCAAAACAAAACACGCTCGAAAGACTTGGTTTACAAAAAGTAAAATTTCTCTGATGTGGCATTCGAGCTTTGCAGACCAGCCATTTTCATCGTAGGGCGAACCGCCGAAACTGCACGGCCCTTTTGATTGGCATGGCTTCAGCCAAACTCAACTCAATCAACGAAACATTCCACCTACCTTTTCGGCTAACGTAATTTTGACCACAGAGTAAGCATAAGCGCTTTCACTTGGCTTTCTATAGCAGGAATTATAAAGATGGTATAAATAATTAAACACTATTGAGATCCCGCTTCGAATAAAGTAGGGCGAATTGGAAAAGCTAAACAGACCTGAAAGGAACGAACTTTAGCCTCCATGTCTTCTTGTTCAGCCACCTTTATCCAACTTGCTACAGGAATCACCTAGGGTACGTTTACAAATAAGTGCATTTACATTAATCATTTTAAAAATGACACTTGTAATGCTTCATACACGCTATTCTTACTACAGAATGCCTCATTATGATATATCAAGAATGATTATTCGGTTATGAATGAAAATGAGTGATAATATTTGAAAATGCATTTTAGGGGCCATACAGTACTGGTATTCATAATTACAACTTTGAAAAATAATGGCAATATTACGAATATATCAGGTATTAATAACTGTACTAATACACTGTAATTAAAAGAAGACATTTATTTAATTCTCAGCTTTAATTCTCAAAATTGCAATTATGAGATCCAAAATGCAGAACAAATGAAGATATAAAATATAGTTGCAAGCCGTTAACTCCACATGTATACCATATTATACCTAATATGCGTATGATACTGAAATATAACAAGACTAATAATATAGATTAGGTTACCTTTTGTAATTGTTGATTTCTTATTGGGTTATATTTCAACAGCTAATGTAGGCACACTTGTGATTTATTAAAGAGTTATATTTACGAGGTGGCGTAACTCACATGATATGTTGTGTTATACAAGAATTGATATTTTTTATTTTTAATAGTTTACCTCAGTGGTGTACCTTAATGAACTCGGGTAGTACATTACTTACCCTAACAGGAATGTCGTGTGAGACACATCTCTCGGCGCTGACTGCCGAAGGAAGTTCAGCTACAGCAACCAAAATGGGCGAAGCTTTCTTTGACAGCTTTAACTGAAATTTCAATCCCGTTTTTACATGACAATCAAATACAAATATAAATATGAGTGTAAAATTACTTCCACTAACTATATTGAATATTAATTGAAATTAACGTAAACGTATCATCGTGATTACCCCAAATTATATCGAATCGCAAAATGACTTGGAAAAAAAATCAGTAAATATAAACATCGCTTCTTCTTCGTTTAATGAAAGATAATTTTTCGAAATAGCAGGTTTTTAAGTACTAAAGCAGACTTGTGAGGTCCTCCAGCAGTATAGGTGTCTTACTGTAGCCATAATCAGTTAAAGCTCCCAGGAAGTAAAAAATGTTTACATGTTCACTTGATGCTAAAGTTCAAGATTAACAGCACCGACTTTCGAAAGTTAGAAGTACCTAAGACAATGTCTTTGAAAGAATATAAGCTAGGACTTACTCTTGATATTTTTAACTAAATTGTAGATTTTATCTGTTATGCTGTAGTGCTGGGTTTTATATACTATCTTATATAAAAAGTGTAGCTTTCTTCCAGTGTTCAATAATTGTTGTCTAACCTGAAAGATCAATTAGCTAAGATTCTTACAATTACCTTAAGAGCCTGAACAAAAGTCGGTTCCGTATAAGACGTCGGTCTCACATGGCGCCAATTTTTTCTTTTATCATATCAGATGTAACTAATGTAATAATTACGAGAAAACCGTCGTCCTGCGTTCGTTCTCGACAAATTATTGAAAACGTTAGTGCCGATAACGGCATTCTCGGTTGTAATAACCGTTTATGCAACCTAATTTGTGTTTAATGTTCAATTTAGATCAATAGAGACATCTTTGACATGAAAGTATTGCAAGACGATTCATTGCCACCATTTAATAATAGTGGCATGACGTAAAAGAATATGTTGCCAAACTTAACGACCCCTTACCCTAAATGAATGGGCAGATACAGCATGTCTGAGCACTTCAGCCAGCATTCCCACCGGTACTTCCAAATGAATCTCGTTGCGCTCAGTAGAAACACCGCCCATTATGTATTCAGAGAAAAGTTCGTCCTGTAACAATAAATAGGTTAAATGTCTAGTGGTATTCCATGAGGAGGATCCAATTTTGGAGTTAAAGCAACATAGACTCTGGTCAAACAAAAAAACGTATCCAAGAAGTCGAGGTTGTATATCTAACCTTAAAAAAGAAACTACATGTTTACATCTGCAATCATTGACAGTTCTTTTCAAAATTACAAATACATCGCACTAACGATAACGCAAAAACGGAATACATTTTTGTGACAGCAGACATGTTATAGTTACAGCGACATTCGTTATCAACTTCGAACAAAGGAATGATCTTTGAGTTATATAAAATAATAAAATCAGCAATATCATCGATTCCTTGTTCGCATCGTGGTTTTGTGCATTTCAAATAGTTTTCTGTTCTAGACAATACGTCAGATAATTTCAACGGAGTTATGCGCTTTCCATGTATAAGGATCAAAGAACAACGTCATTCAACGGCGATGTGGGAATTCCTAGGTCTAAAGCCAATTCCGGTTTGAAAAACTAAGCGCCTTTTGGTCGAAAGTTCACCTACATCAGGTTTTGTAAGCGACTTTTTACGTCTTTACTCTTCAAATTTCGCCATAATAATTTAGCAAATCATAGAGATATTTTTCTGCTTAGTCCACAAAGCAATTAAGGCATGATTATGAGCTTTTGCTGTTTTTATCAAGTAACCAGACTGGATTCTTTCGATTGCCGTGCCAATGGTCCCTAGATGACTTGAGAAATTGGAAACAGCGGGCTGTATTTATTGTTTCACTTTCAACGAGTATCTTATATTAGCAGATAAATCTAATATCCGTGACAAGTATTACCATCGCCTTATGTCCAAACCTACTTGACACTGCCGCCGAACTTGATTTCTTTCTAAGGTGGCAACATTTTTTTAGCCGGTTTCTCTCTGGCTGGCGGTATAGATTGAACCATGCCTCAGCTATGACGACCAAATCTTTTTGTTAAAGGTTCGCAAATTGCGCGTGGAATACACCACACAGGTTTCCGATTTGCCTGCGATCAAATCATGAAGAGCCACTTTTTATAAAATCTATTTAGTAATTCTGTAACATAGTACACGTGAAACACCAGTTTTGGCCGACAGGAGTTTATACTTCAAGCTCTGCCTTTGTAAAAGACTTCCTCGGTTACGGTAATGTATTTCTGTCTTTCGGGCTCCGACATCTGGTCACCACCTTACTGACCTTTAACACTTCAACCTCGTTCTTGAAACTTTTGCTCCGCTTCCATACTGTGTTTTCTAAAGCCTATTTGCCTAATCTTTGCGATGACTAATGTCTGATGAATTTCAGCAGCGCTGTAAGCTTCGAGTGATAAAGACTTAACCACTGAGCGTTGATTTTAAAGACTAAAAATGGCTTTCTTTCACAACTCACTTCTCCCTGAACACAACTCACTCATACATATCTAAAAGACTGAAATATTTACCAGCCAAATTTCGCTTGCTAGCAGCGCGTAATTCAAGGGTCTTTCAATTTTAAAGTCCGCCGGATTCGCTTGAAATAGCCTGATATTGCTTTATTATTCATTCTCTACATGTCCTAAGTTAAATCTTACAATATCAGCTTGCTTGCCACCTAGATTGATTGTTAAAGTAAATAATAAATTCAATATTAATGCCTTTGGCGGGCTAAAGTTGCAATGTGTGGACCTTGAAATTATGCGTTTTAAAAAATGTTAATTTAGTCACAAAAAAGATAATACAGTACGTATATCAAAAGATTTATATTAGATATTTCATCTCTAAACGTAAGGGTCATTAAATTAGAATAAAACTGAAGCCAAACACTTGAGCGGGTGCGTAAGGCCACCAAGAATAAATCCTGGCTATATAATAATGGCAAGAGGCAGTTTTTATTTTGTAGTATGTTGTTCAAGCCGTTCGAGTCGTTGTTTATTGCTTCTTTAGCCCAATTTGTAGTTTGTTTAAAGTCAAGTGTTAAAAGAATATTTTAAGTCTTTATTTGGCTGTATAATCCTGCTGTTATTATTTTAGTCGGATTAAATATCGTTTTCATTTGGATAAACAACGGAAAGTGGAGACAAGGAATTTTGTTTTGATCCTAAAGTCTTATTTTTGTATTGCTATTTTTTTTTGTATTACCCTATTTTATCGTCTCTTTGTCAGTCTTCTTTGATATTTTTTTGTTTTCCATACCTCTGAATCGTCTTTAAAATCTGTCTTAATCGCTTTACCAGTATTCGGTAATTTAGATTTCGAGGTTTTTATCTCTAAGCATTCACTTTAGAATCCGAGCTCAAGTTAGGTTTTTTTTAGTCCTGCCTTCTTAAATGTTGAAATAAATGCATCGCAAGTTTAAGAATCTATGTGTTTTCTACATTGCTAGACGTAGTGAGACGCCAATGTAGCTACTACTGAGTGTACGTCGTCTTGTGGATATTTTACCGTGGGACTTATTTTGCTGAATGCTTTTTCGTTTCCGATGCATATTTAACAATGCACTAAGTCCCCTTTCGCAACACTGCGTCATACCGTAACTTTTAATTAAAAAAAAGTCTCAAACCCATGGAGGAGAAAAACACAAAGATTATCTGAACGACAGTACGTGTTGGCAAAATGTTGAAGCAAGGATCAAATTTTGAGCAAAGCTCGCTACTTTTTAAAAAACTTCCGAATTTTAACATTTTATTTTGTTTGAGCAACACGACCCTATTTAAGATAAAATATAAAAGGAGAGAAAGAAAGAAAGAAAGTAGATATGTAATTTTAAGAAAAAAAATTAATTGTGCACAAAAAACGCACCGCTTCAAAGCAAAGTAAGAACCAGCAGTCAATATGACACAAGCAAAAAATCTGACGATACTGTCCAGCTGTTAAAATGGTAGGAGACAAACGTGGCTGAACAAAATTGTGGACGAAAGCAAAAATATCAGAAAGGCAGGTTTAACAAAAAGTCTTTAATTCTAGGTATTGTAACGCTTTGAGCATTGCCTTATAGGGTCATAGAAATAGTAAATATGTACTTCTATGGTCCTATAATGCAACAGGAGTTTTTGAATGACTTTTATATCTAATTCTGCAACGTATGTTAATTCTGTAGGATCAATAACCCAGTAACACAAAGAAGTTAAGGTCACTGACATTGTCCTGTTAGAGTCCCATCCACTTTCTGCTTGGGGAGGAATTCATGCTCTGTATGACAAAAAAGGTGTATTCATTAAAGAATATTTTTAACGTACGAAATCTTATAGAAACAGATAAAAATAAATTCGGAAATTGTTATGAAATCTTGCAACCTTTTCAGATTTGCTACATATGGCGCCCATGTACAACCACTTTTTTTTTGTTAGCTAGAGTATTGACATCACATAGTTGTACTGTTAAATTTATGAAAACAAGTAATCACCCTGTCGATAGATATCTTCATTTGAAGTCCCCCTTTGTTGGCGGGCTCGACCACGACAAGGCTTAGGGTGTTTTGCGACAGCTGCAGATCCACTTCTTTTGCGATCTTCGATATCATATGGACCGCACCTACATATGCTCGAATTCAACAACAAATGTAAATGCTTAGGAGTTAAACGCTGCATTGCTTTGAAAAACCAGATTTCTTAGCTCAAAATGTGTTAATCAAATAAAAATTAATGTTGTTATTTACTATCTGCTATGTTGAATTAATTTTATGAAGCCTGAAACTTTTTTGCCGCTTCAAAGTTTTCCGGTGCACTGACCTGTCGATATTTTCATCTGCCTGTAAGAATAATAGCAGCCGCCTTTCCGTTCATATAAGTTATTTCTGTTACTCAGTTATTATTTTTATTTTGAAAGATAACAATAGTTAGACAGCAACTTTGGATGATAGTTAATGGACCGCATTTATTTTTACGCTTGTGTCACGTTTCTAGATAGCAACTCTGAAGAATGTATTTATTGAATCCAAGAGTTCAACTACGCTTACTGTTGCAACCTGCAAATTTGGCCTCTAGCTGCAACTCATGACGCACTATTCGACACTTATATTAGATTAAAATCCATGCATCAAGTACAAAGACGCTGCATCCAGTAACCACGGAATATGGCATAAATCTTTACGGATCGGCATTGTCCAGTAGATGGCTATTTAAACAATCTCATCCACTTTCATCTATAATAACAGTGGCAACTTATTGAAACGCTTATATATACACTTATAATATCGGGTTTAATTTTAGAAAAATCGAATTTCGCCGAAACGGTCGACTGCGTTCCGACCGATGCATACACTAAATACAATTCACAGTATCTCCAAATACGTACCAATATTATAGGTTTGATGCACATCTGCAGAACGGCAATGTGATTTATGCATACTTGCAACCATTTTTCTAGGCGCTGATCTTTCTCAAGCTTAGCTTGTGTACCTTGATTTATCATATTAGGTACATTCCAACATCCCGAAAGTATCATTTAAAAAAGTTGACAAAATGCATAATAGTTTTTTGTTTACTAAGTATTTTATGAATGTTCAGTGTGAATTAAGCCGATCGAATTCTTTATACTTGAGTTTTTTTTATCTAAATAGAGGACAAATGATAAAGGTTGTTGTTTTGTTTAGTATTTGCATATACGGAATAAGCAGTAAACGAATGTATTGAGGCTTCTCTAAGGAAATTAATTAAGTTCTAAAAATACTTACGAACACCAATCCTTATATAAGATATTAATAGTTCTAGTACCCATTTTACATAATATGCGGGTACCTACACATTTTCGCACACTTCACGAATTTCACTTACGGAGAAGGAGTTGAAGGTTGTGAGTATTTTTTATGACCCCACGGAACTTCATAACTTTGGATTTTCAGCGTGATGTTCTAGTTGAGTAACTGCCAACCTTTCGGTGAGTTACATCAAAATTAAATCGATTCAATTACAAATAATATAAAAATGAAACTAACGAAATTAAGCTAATTACGAATAATGTCATGCTATCGTTGAAACGTTACCGCGCAAAAATACATTCATTCATAACCATCGGATCAATCGCTGATGAGCACTGGGATTATTGTATGTGGTTACACGCTTTTTTTGAAAAGTTACTCATGGGTTGTGTTCTACCAAGTGCGGTAATCAAGCATTACTGAAAACTGATGTAAAAGGTGCAATATGTAATACAATATATTTAGCACTGGCTCATTCTGTCGAGTATTACAGACAAAAATCATCAACACATTGTTTACATACCATCGAAGCGTTTGTTTAGCTGACTGATACAGTGCAGAAGTCTTATGTTACGCTGTATTATCGCAAAGAAGAGGGCTTTGAGCAACTGACCTTTCCTTTCTGATCGCATTGAATAGTAAAACTTCAACCACGATGGGATGTGACGGCGGAACTATACCTCGTCGCGATGAGCTTGTACGAACTAAGCAGAAGGACGAACAGAAAGATATGCAAGCAGAGAACGCGTTTAAATGGAAACACTGCGCAATTTCGCAGGTACGTATAATAATTTTGTCATAATTCTACCTGTAGCTCCGCCGTAAAGCATTGCATGCTAGTTGTTTTCACAGTAACGAGTTATTTAATTTTAAGCGACGTTTTAAAATTTCGGATACAGTATCTGCGGTTTCGTATAAATAACATTGTTGGCAAAGCCTCAACTATTCTTCTTTTTTATGTGAAGACGTAGAAATTCATTAGGCACAAACAAATTATTTTCCTGACGAAGCACGAAGCATGCATTTTGGGGATGTTTATAGTAAATAAAAATAAACATGCCGTAACGAGCAAGTGAGTGTTTTTCTAGAACGACCGAACGCAGTACCGGCCCTAGAAGTGTTTTCATATATTAGGAGGTGCTTCATCCCTAGTAGGTCCCCTGCGATCCCACTAACGCCTTTTATGTATCCCATCGTCTTACTAGATAACGTGACTTATATAATTGTTTTCTTACAGCCATTTTTCTCAAAACGACCTGTAAATTGATTATTATATAATTGTTTTCTTACAGCCATTTTTCTCAAAACGACCTGTAAATTGATTATTTTTACCGACAATTTAATGCATAGAAATATCTGAAATACAGTGAAGATTTGTCGAACGCGCATTTCTCGTAAATCAAAGATATATCGTACTATACTATAAAATAGTCAAGAGTAATGACTGTAGTGAAATACTTCTATTATTACGTGAAATAACTACTCAGTTTTAGATTTATAGGGTAGTTTATTTTAGTCAAAAAGATTTTGCCTGTTCTTTAGTGAACAAAACATCTTGTTAAATCGTGCCATTTAGCATAGCCATCTGCCTTATTGAATTTGCGGAAAAGTTTTTTTTGAAGTAATGTAAATAAAATCTTTACATATTCATTACTTAACTGTTTAGAAAGAGTTATCCTAATCGTGAAAACATAGGATTACGTTTGTTGATTAATGAAACCTATATATACACATCTTTCTCCTGTAAATGTTTCATTTTATTACTCTATTCTTCATAAGATAGTTAAGAACAATAGTCTATATTTATTCATTCAATGCCTCTAACTATTGCTTTTCTTGTTTTCCTTTTTAGCAAGCACTGAAGCAACCGATTGTGGCATGTGATTTAGGTCGACTGTATAATAAGGAGGCCGTCATTCACTACTTACTTCGTCGTGTCGAGTCACCTCTAGAAACAGCCGCACACATTCGGCAGTTAAAAGATGTTACTGAGCTAGTCCTCACGGACAACCCCGCTTTCAAATATGTACAGACCAAAAATACTGATTACGTTGACCATGCTGTTGCAGCTTATATCTGCCCTACTACCGGCCTTGAAATGAATGGGAAGTACAAATTCGTGTTCAACCGTCGATGTGGCTGTGTGTTTAGCGAACGTGCCCGCAAGAACGTTAGCTCTGAGAAGTGTCTTAAATGCAGTGGTCTTATGAATCCTAGCGAAATTATCATTCTGAATCCTAACGAAGAAGAACGAAAGGAGATGGAGGTTCGAATGATTCAGCGAAAATGTGCTGCTAAAGCGGCTCGGAAGAAGGTAAAGAATGAGACTAACCCGAAGGTTGAAATTGACCCTCAAGATGCTGCTGGTCCAGCATCAAAAAAAATAAAACAAGAGAAGATGAAACCGATAAAACAGGAGGTAACTACGTCGTCAAGCAATTCTGCTGGCAAGTCTTCTTATTCAATAGCAAACGACCCTAACGCTTCCGAAGCTCTGAAGTCTCTCTTTACATCACACGAAAGTGCAAAGAATAAACCTACGGCGCACTGGATTACACATAATCCTCTGTTCTATTAGGTGACAATCTTATGAGGCTTTCCTCTGGAAATAAGCTTGATATTTGTATACACATGTAAATAAAGAACTACATTATATATAAAGAACGAAACTGATTTTTTATGCATCTTACTAGATCAGAAAATATTGTTTTTAGAGGTTTCAGTATTACTGAATTGAATTGAAAATATCTTCATTTACACGAAGTAGAGTATATACGCATATAAAGTATGGCATGTAAAAGAAGCATCGTGTAGCTTATATTGTGCATAATTAGTCCAGAAGGAATTTGAGCGTGCGGCATGTATGGAGCGACGTGCATTTCATCTTCGCGTAGCTTCCATTTACACCTTTTTCTTGCAATATGTTCCAGAACTACAACAAATTTACACGAAGTAGAGTATATACGCATATAAAGTATGGCATGTAAAAGAAGCATCGTGTAGCTTATATTGTGCATAATTAGTCCAGAAGGAATTTGAGCGTGCGGCATGTATGGAGCGACGTGCATTTCATCTTCGCGTAGCTTCCATTTACACCTTTTTCTTGCAATATGTTCCAGAACTACAACAAATTTGCAAGAAAGATTCTTGGCCTTGAACTTAAAATTGTGGTTTGCGAGATCCGCTGTATACATTTGGAAAACGGTTCAAGCATTTTGATTCTCAAATAAGGATTATATATGAGAGATCAACTTATTAGTGCCTTGTTGAACGTCTCTATTGTAAACCTTTTCGCATAGGTTTAAGCACAGACTTGCCGCCCTTAGATTAGATGCCAAGCTAGGCTTATTCAATCAACTTACGCGTCAGCTTACTTATTTCACTTGGCTTCATTTAACTACTACACTAGTAGATATACTGAGGTTGTCGATCTGTCTATATGTAACTAAAGCGGTCATTACATTGATTTTGAAGCTAGTTGGCACAAATTGATCAGATTTTAAAACTACGTTGAAGGTTATTGTTTGAAGTTTTAGTTGCCGTAAATACTGTAAACGCTTACCATAAAAAAATTAAATTTTCCATGCATGCAAACGTAAACATAAGGACAAGAAAACTATATGCATATGTGTATCCTGGGTTCGATACTTCTGAGATTGTGGAATAGTTGTATTGGAAAGAAAAGACGAAGTAGAATAACAAGCTGTATACCTTAATAACCAAAGTTTAGGTTATCTTTTTGGGGACAGGATAAGCAAGACAACAGGAATATTGTAACATGATATTATAAGCAATAAGAATGAACTGAAGTGACACAGATGTAATGGTTCTTGTTTGGAGCTGAGACGTTAGGTTAGCAGAATACTCATGAAAAAAACGCAATCCAAAGCGGTAACGGTGACCGTTGACAGAACCATGTGGTAAGATATAGTACATTAAAAAAAAAACGGTAATTAAGGAATTTCAGAAAGTACTCGTTTATTTAATAACTCAAATTACAACAATACGATTCCTATAATTTACACAAGACTCAGTTTTTGGTGAATTTCTTCAGGGGCTGAAAGAACATAATGTATGTAAGTGCTGGCAAATTAAAAATTGGAATGCTTAATAAAACGTTATGTTTTTCTACCAGTTTTTTGTGTTTATAGAAAATGTGTTTTCATAATTTGGCTAGATTAGTTACGATTATGTATGATTAATCAAATTAGTACAGGCTATTTATTCTCAGTTGACCGTTATATTTCCGGGCATAATTCAATGCGTGGCTTTTGCGCTAGCCGCTGGTGAAAACAGTGTTCCAGCAATAAGTACCCCTTTTAAGTTGACAATGAAATCCGCTGTAACTTTATGGGAGACTTTACAAAATGTTTCCTTTTAGCACTTAGTTCGGCTTAAAATTTAATTTGTCGAGCTTTTAATAACCCCGTATTCAGTAAATTCCCTTCCAAAAAAAGCAGTACAGTTTAAGCAGTCTACCTTTGTTAATGAATAATTACAACCGTCCAGGCAGTGAGTACGATGCATCTTGTGAGAATGAAATAGTCCGGAGACAAGAATTTGTACACTACAGTAAGAAATTTCGATTATAATCATACAAACATTGTTAATGAGGTTCGACATTCAATTACAGAATGTTTCAATTATAAGTATCTTCTGCAATACTAGTGCCGGTTTGTAAAAACATTCAAGAGAACTTAAAAAATATTCTATAAGTCTGTAAAAGGCTTCAAAGGTTTCCTTTATAGAAAAAGACTGGTCTGTAACTTGATTTACACCCGAGCAAAGCAAGCTAAAATAGCCATCCTTGTTTTAGCGGTAAAAAACGCACTTGATTTGCAATGTTACTTTATTTTTTTACTAATATACTGCAGAGCATTCAACTTACGTACAGCATTGTACTACTTACACTGTCAACGTCCTCCTGGATAGTCTGTAAAATAAATGCAGACCTTATTCCTTGTTTGATGCTACTTACACATATAGTTAATAAAAAAGTAGCATGATTTGCAGATGAATTTATAAGTACAATCTTGTCGTGGTAGGTTTAGATCAGAAGATGTGCAAAAGTTAGTCGTTTTCTATACTTTGGTAAAGGATTCGCGGCACAAGAGAGTGTTTATCAGATACATGTAACCGACAACCATTCTTTTGGGCCATAAGCCGTTGTTAAGAAAAACAACTTGTGAGTTATCTCCCAATCTAAAAGTGTCAACGTATTTTATGCAAAGCACAGAACATCCTAGAATAATGATTTCAGTTAACCACTACATACAGGTGCAAGCCTATTCAGCATTTTTAGTCGTTTATATACATATATCGAGATAGTGACTTTTGATGAATGCTGATGACTACGTCTTCACCTACCTGCTCAAGAGCTTGGAATCTTTCACGAGTCTCTTTGTCGAAGATTTCCGAAAATTCAACTGTTGTTTCCTCGGTTCCTTTAGCATTTTTTTGAGTCGTTTTTATTGCTTCGTTTAGCTCGTCTTGAAGATTTGTAGCTTCTCCAGCACCACCCTCAACCTTTAGTTTTCCGGGAACATAATTTATTAAAGGTCATAACAGCATTCAAAATTATCATGATTTTACTTACTCCAATTTTAGATCTAGAGGCCCCGATTTTATTTGTGTAGAATGCTCCAGAAAACATAATTATAGTTTAATAGGATTGCTCAATCCTTTTATGTTGAAGTGATGATAGCACGAACTCGTATTATATCTCGTTACGTGGTTATTTTTTACTACGGCAAGGTCAATTTGTGGCTATATGGTTATCGTTCCCGAATTAAACTTTTATTAAATTCTTACTAACTCGCTTAAACGTTTCTTCGCTCGTTTTGCTGATCAATTCTCCCACATGTTGGGCGGCTGCGTCAACTTCTCCAATGGCACCTTGTATTCCTGCCGCAGCCTTGTGTTTAGCTTGCTGAGTGTCAGCAAACACCTTTTTAGCGGCATCGTCGGTAACTTTGGCTATTCGATCAAATTCTTTTTGGGTTCTCTGGGCGGCTTCAACGACTATGTTCTTAGTTACACCTGGGAGCGTATCCTGAACGTCAGTCGACCTTTCCTATTACACAATTTAATATTGTATCGTAAATATGTATATATTGGTTTTCTGATGATGAATAAATACCTATCATTGTTATTACGGATAAGGTATGTAGATTGTATACTAATTAAGTTTGCATGAAGGTTTTGGCAATTGTACTTATTGGTACAAGAGCTTCAACGAAGAAAGCGTGTACTATTAATATCAGTTTCAAACTAAACACTATCATATTACAGATATACGCGGGGTAAACTTCACATATAGACTCTAAGGAGTTTTGTCTTTAATATGTATCTTTCTTTTTATAAGACTGATTTAGAGTTCAGGATTCCACAAACAAAGGTGAAGCGAGCCGTATATTTCAAACGATAACCAAAGCTATGAAATGCATCGCTGGAACTCTTTCACAAGAGATCTTGAAGGTTTTGGCACTCAATGAAGTTAATAAAATCTGTCCTGAGATGTAATGAGGTCTCAGTTAGCCAATAAAAAATTAGCGATGTAAAGAATGTACGATTTATTGAAATAGAGGAGATAAACTTCCACTTGGGGTACGTATTCCGCTAATATATGCCTCCAAAGCATTTGTTACTATTTGAGTGCGCGGAAATTCAAAGTTAAGTTAGATAAGCGCATATTGAAAAAACAAAAGTCAAGTTGTGTGTCAAACTCTTTGCTTTTGCGATGTATGCCAGACTGTCCAATTGGACGTGTAATTCTACTACTACAATTAGAAATAGACCAGTTTCGATTAAAGGTAATATACCGATAAAACAGTCAGAAACAAGTCTTGCAAAAATAGTTTTTCCATACAAATAATACAGAACATACCATAGACACATACTATTGTGGTAGGTGACATTTTAACTTTGTCATCAAGCATATTCTGAAACCGTTCTTTTTTCAAATTTGGGTAAAAATTCCAGTAATTTTGATTAAATGAGTGATGAAGTGGCAATCGGTTAAAGTGCAATCGTTGAAATTCATATAAGCATAGTATCTTGACGCAAATAACAACGATGTCAAAAAAAAACATGGTAGATTAATATTTACAAAAGCACCCGCTACTTCAAATGTTTATATGTTGGCAATGGGAGGCTTAAAGTAGCAATTTATAATCAGCTCAATATTTAGCCGTCCAAGCCGTGTCACTGTTTAATTATGCTCTACTGAGCCAAGCTTCATAAGAAAAATAACCCACACGCTTCGGAAAAATCTTTTTCAATACATTAAATACTATAGCTTGAACAATTATATTGTACATACATAACAATAAGCTTTATTTAAAAAGGTGGTCACTATGTTAAGTAAATGTTTGTAAATTCCACGGTCACGGTCAGAAAAAGGATCACGATTGGAAAACCAAGTTCCCATTTCTACACAAATCTTGACAGTTGACAACTAACTGATTCAACAGATCGTAACCTTCTTTTAGCAGCTTGCAGTTTCGGATATGCCAGGTCAATAGCTAGCACCTATTTGCTTCTAAAAAGAGTCTTCCTAAGATTGCCTAAAAAAGCTGAATTTGTTAGAAACCATACCTAAATAATTTTCACGAATGCTGAACTCATCATCATTATTATTACCTCATTATTCAGGTTAAATAGGGTTAACAAGAAAGCTAAAATGGATGGCAATGACTCGTAATATATGAGTTCTTACAATCTAAGAAATATATACCATCAGTAAAGAGTCGTTAACTAGCAGTTAATTCTGCTCATTCTGAAGCAGTTTTAGCGTCGATTTTTATGTATATTTTTGTTACTAGACGAGAGGAAATATATATACAATACAATCAAAAATGAGAAACACGTTAGATTAGTCGTTTTTACTTACCTTGGTAGGCTTCTGTGCTTCTCCAACAGTATCTTCGAGACGCCGTTGATTCTTTTCAACAGCCTCTCTCAATTGATCCCTAAGCTTCATTGTTTCCTCTATTTCTTTTTGGAGTTCTTCTGTTGCCTTCTTAACGGAATCTGACAGGACGAGCTCCTCGTCTGTCTCTAGATTTTCGATCGAGTCATCGTCGAATTCTTCGGACTCTCCTTCATCTTCATCTGTCTAGAATTACAAACAACAAGCTGCACCTGTTCAACATACTATTCTAGTACACATACAGATAAATTATTTCATTTTACTAGAGTAGGAATTTTTTGACCTTTGAAGCTGTTATCGCTTTAAAGGCTTTTAAGCGCCTAAAATCACTGGCGAATATCGATATCGACATCAATTTTTTACAATGATACGCTGCGGAAATAGGCTTGTGGCCATTTTTAACTTAAATGTCATTTAGTTTCCCCTTTTGCTTGTCCTTCCTTATTATGCCATTTTCCTGATAAGGAAATGGCTTTCTCTTTAACAAGCCAATATGTTCTTTGTCTTTTACAGGGAATTTATAGGGAATTTACAGGTTACACACTCTACTTTTTAAAGACTGAGGCTGTCTATTTTTGTGCCCGATGCCACCTATTTTGAAATGCCGTTTAATTTGACTATAGAGTACGGTGTTCGTTAGCGAAGATAAAGAATACAGCATATTTATATATACTTTCCACACTGCGCGAGCTATTCTCTAAAAGATGTTTTTTCTGTGTGCAGGATGTTTTTTTTATAAATTAATGCTATTTTTATGTACTGTTTCTAAGTAAAAAATACGTAAAATATATTTTCATATGAATATGCTGAACTGAATAAAAATTGCAGGTAAAGTAAATAAGGTATTACCGTTAAAAGCAATTCTGATAGATAGAATTAGAAGAATTAGAATAGATCTTAATCTAGAATTAATAAAACCCCATTTTAACGATAAAATGGAGAAGCAATAATGGGTTATGCACGTTCCAGGTATAATTATGGAACAAATATTGTTTTCTGATACAATGGTTTATGTAGGTTTTAATAATCAAATGATTTCTCACCTTTAAAGTTTCAGCACGGACTTGCTCGGCGTTTTCCACCGCTCGCTTGTTTATGTGCTCATGAATGCCTTTTGCAGTTCGCTCCCACTCCACAGGGTCGAATTTGTCCAAAGGAGCCAATTTAACATCATTGCCAGTGAACTAGTGATCACAAAACAATGTTCTAAGATTTTGTTATTATTTAAAAACGCACGCTGCATTATGTGATGTAAATAATCGCTGTTTGAAATGGTACTTCCTAAGTGTCATCCTTGAAATGATTTGTTATTTCAGAGTCGCGCTCTCAATATATTTCATTTTTTTTGCGACAGCTTAAATACGGTCCATCAAAGTTATACAATGTTTGATGATGTAAATGAGCTACCCCAGATCCCGTTAAAAAATGCGTTTTAAATTAAAGGCGAAACTCTTCGTGGAACACATTTTTACATACATTATGTTGAGACCAATTCATCATTAAAAATAGAAGAAGAAAAGGGTTTAAAGTGGCGTTGATAAAAAATATAAGGTAAAAGTGACGATGTGACAGCTAATATTGCTTTTAACTAAACCTTTATTATTATATATTATTATTGATTATAAGGGTTATAATCCTTTTTTTTAAAAGCAACTTGTAAGATGTATTTAAAAGAATTAGAAAAAAAGCTTGAAACATGCGGTACAGTATTTCGTTAATGGATCAAAGTATCCATAATATCTCCCATTTTGAAAATCCTTAACTAAATATTCTAGATAATACTTAACTCTAATTTACACCCAACTTTTCTTTAGAATAGAAATGCGAAAGGTCACTTTAAATCAATGAGAATGATTTTTAAAAATTACTTATGGCTTATTTTGAGTTTCGCTAAAAACATACACACAAAATAACCATATTGTTAATAGATGGTGCACTTGCGTAGTTGAATCAGAATTCACAAATTATAATAAGATAACAATTAATGGACTAGAAAAGGGAATACAACATGTATCCTGGTAACATGTACGAGCAGTTTAAATTGTCATTATTTTTTATGTTAAAACCGCTTTCATCTTTTAATAAGTGATTAGTGAAGTGTATAGCCTTTCACTGGTTAAATGCATATCAGTTCACAAAGTGTAATCATTTAATCTGAAAGCAGTCTCTAAAAGCTCATTTTTACTAAAGAAACCGATTATTATCGACTTTGATTCCCAAAAACTATTAATTCAACAGAGAAATTTAATAATGGTTCCTTTGAAATGAATCGGCATATAAATCACGTGATTTCACATCGCATCATCAACATCACATCCCCATATGAACGTTAAAATTCAAGTGAATATAAGACAAGTAGCAAGGCTTTCATAACGTACTTCAGTCGTAAGTGTCCAATTAATGTAGTCCTAAATAAGATGGCTATATTACATTTTTAAGGGCGTGCATGCTTTCTTGCAGTATGGCATTTGAAAACCGAGTCATTAGCTTTAATAAAGAATTTCATTATAGGTAATAATCGATTACACTTCCAGTAGCGATCTTTTGAATGGTTAACGCTATTTTTTAGCTATTAAAATTAAATTTAGTAGTCATATTTTTTTTTAATTGCCATATATATGAAGAATATAGATCTTTCCCATATGCAATGTACTATAATGATAAAATAAGAAGAACTACTTAAACTAGCGCAATAAGAAAAGTGAATGTCGTTATTGTTTTCCGTTATGTAGTATAGAATATGAAGGAATAGACTAAGTGAAACATTGAATTGGAAATACTTTTTTGTGCTATCCAACTTTTTGCCTGTTTTCAAATAACTCCAAAAAATACTAATTAGCTAAAATTGTTACGGCCTATTAACTTATTATGATTAAATACAATGTGTAACTTGTTAAGTCGTTTTTTAAAAACTTAAACCTCAGTGAAGACGAGCATAACAATTAAATAGGAACATAAACGGAATCGAAGTAAACCGACGGTGCCATAAAGTGGTTTGTATTAATAGTGTTTGGGAAAAAAATCTGAAGTTGTGAATGCTTCATAGAGACATAATCATATAATCACTTACATCTTCCTTGCATCCCTCGATGGCTGACGGCTTTTCCTTTTTCCCGATCATTAATGCCAAGATGTACCAGAGCGGGTACGTTAAAATATAAAGAACGTTCTTAATAAAATCCATCATTGCGGGCTTTCTAGTGAGAAATTTAATGGATCCGATACGTGCACAGGTTCCTTAGTTGTCACAAAATCACGAAAGCAAAGTTATAGGATTTACTAGTTACCCTATAGATGTAGCTCGCAGACTCCTTGACGAACGACCGCGAAAAAGAACGCGACGTTAGCGGTTAATACAATGCTGCCTACAGGAGTTACGAACGCTGCACACCAACAAGCATTTACTACCCAAGTTAACGCTATAGGCTTTAGTTGTCGGTGTGTTGAAGCAGGACGTACTGCTGACCAGTGGCGCAGGCGCAGTGTCGACCGTTGACTGCTTCCTTTGCAATGGCTAAAAATAGTGCGTGACTTTAGATTGGACGATCAGACCCTAGCTTTAAGACGTAAACAACGATGCTGCCTAGAAAGGTTTTACCAGTAGGGTGACGGGGCACTTGTACATCTTTCTAACCGAAAGCTTGAAGCCAATGAACATAGCATACTACTCTGATTGATTGACTGAATGAAGGGTGTAACGCATGATCGTTGGCAATGACTATTTGTTGACCCGTTATAATACAAATTATGCACTCGATTTTTTAGTTAAATCAGAAACGCACTGTAACTATCAAAATGCGTTGCATTCATGCGCAATGTTTCGGCGTTTAGCCAACAACCTAAAACTCTTAACTAAGTTGTTCGTTTTAACCGGAGACCGACAGCTGTATAATGTGCTAAAATATATAATAAATGAAATCCTGTTTAGAATGCTAGATTAAATATGTATCTATTTGTTTATCCGGTACCTCAGAACTGGGATGCTAATGGACGATAGGCCTTCTAGAGAACACAGAGACTCCGTTTTGTCTCCGCCCGTCTTTTTTCTATTAGAATCCCCGTAGCGATATAAAGATGAAGAATTCCACAACAAAAAATCAACACGAAGTTTCTTCAAATAGTTTTTATTTTAAACACTTAAGCAGAAAAACAGCCATCTTCTTAGATTATGTAATCAGAATGTCGCGACGGGTTATATTATAATTCAGTCACTAAATCACGGAGTTCAGTAAGGAGAAAAGGAAGAGAAACATTTGGCGTCTATGATAATAATTATGTCATGCCTCAGGCACCACTATATACGCTATAAAAGACCTATAACTTTTAAATTATTTTGCCAAGACGAATTCTTGAGCCTCGTTAGTCAATTCGCGACCCACTTTCGTTCTGACAAAAACCAGATAAAAAACGAATCCCTATAACTCAACAAAAATGCGGTAAATCTAAGGTCAATGAAGCTGTGCGAAAACCTAAACTTTAATTGAAGAAGATTGCCAATTTACTATAAAAACATAGTGTGCAGATAGGGGATACGATGGCACAAACTTTGTACATTTTGTAAGGAATATGGTGATCTTCGAGTATTGGGTTGCGTGATTTCGAATATTGCAATTGGTTTCATAAAATCTAAAATAGGGGCTAGCGCCCAATCTATTGTGAAGGAAATGGGAACGAGGAAACGATACCCTCACAGGAAAGGCTTTTAGGAGAAAAAAGAGACAAATATAATTGTGATGATGTAGTACTTAGATCCATTTTGAGTAAAATTTAAGCAAGCTGTTCATTCTCTGTAGTTTTGACAAACTTAGTTTTTACCGGTGGTTTCTCCCTTATATTCAATGCCTTAGATATCTTATATCATTGCATTAATTAACCAACTAACTAATGAATGCGGGAAATATTTTATACAAAAATGTAAACTTTATTCAATGTTTCTTTATCATAGACGACAAAACGTAATACTGTGTTTTTCTGTATTATTAAGCTATCCAACTATAATCAAAAACTGGCATTTTTTTAGCCAGTAAATTACTTAATGTTATTCGCTTAATTAAAATGGAAAGTCTGTTCGTTATTCAGATCCAAATGTGAACTCGTACGCGATGCGCCATTCCAGCCTCAAGCACGACTCCAGACAGCTTCCTAATAAGATTACAGTTAGCTCTATAACTGTTAATTAGAACTCGCAATTTAGTACACCACACTTCAGTAGCGCTGTACTGGTAATTTACAGTTAATTACGAATAGTGAATCAATCACGATTGATCATGAGACAATGATAACAAAAATAAAGAAGACCTTGGAGAAGCTGCCTGTCCAAAGGCGGTGAGTAGTGAATCATTGGAAGCATTGCATGCGCGAGCAATAAAACGCAAACATAATATGTCTGTTAGAGTATTGTGATATCTCACAAGTCTACCACCAAACATATACACTAATATATTATATTATTCATTAATGTAAATTAAGTATCAAAAACAGAGATCAAAATCTTCGAGAACGTTTTTTTAAGAGTGGTTGTAGCATGCATTGGAGCGTTCTTTCATGACACCATTAACCACTCAATAGATCCTAGATCGAAATAAGCCTCCTACGACGCGGCTCAAGTGAGCTCAAGAGTTTAAACTCTGAGCTTTATGATAACCGCTTGGTAAACGTGCAGTATTGATCTTACCAATAATTCACTATAAACATATTATAATTACCTGCTGAATACTGTCACTGTCATCTTTGTAAGCTTTCTCCCATTACTAGATTACTTCCAATGAAATCAAGTGAAGAGTCCTGAAGACCTTAAAGAAGGCATACGAAACTTCATATCATCAATAACATTAAGAAAACTAATGAAGTAGCTTTTGAATCATTTGGCACATAACAGTAGTCAGCTTGCCTTATGATACTTAAGTTTTCATGTTTAATTAAAATACGCAACCCCTTTTTGTAGGCCGACTGCTATGCGCTAAAAAAGTAGCGCATCGTAGGTTCCACTTCGAGTCCCATTGCGCTCTGATTATTTTGTAATAGACACGGTACATAAACAACACAGGTGGTTGCAGTCCTGCGTAGATAAATCGATCATATGGGACAATGTGTAATTACTCAGAATTGAATTACTATTCACTGAATGATTCTTCAAACACGTTCGGTAAAATTGGGTGCAAATCCTAAAACGCGTACCTATTTGCTTCTGCATATGCTAGTATCAATTTTGTTTCTTGTCCATATTGGTGGTTAGTATTTTAACAATGAAAAACGTTTCTTTTCTAGAACCTTTGTCACCTGATTTGAATGACGACCAGGCGACCACGCCTAGGTCAATTGCTATTAACTCAGTTCTACGCTAATCCAATCTCAAAAAGGTACAATTACGTATAAGTAACAGTACCATGGAGATTCTTTATATCTGCTGGTTATATCTGGCTTGTATATCTTGTTAGAACACCTAGTGGCACGCGGGCATTACCGTTTCTCGTTTCGCTACCATAACGAAAATTACAACAAAAATAGATCATCTAATGATGCCGTATTACGTTATTCTATGTTATAATATCTACAGGATCGCCAGAAAGGGCCAAATGCCCTATTTGGCACTCTCTTGACTTATGACCCAAAGGCCATTTAACAACTTCGCTATCCACGGGTAGCGATTTAGTATATATATACTTTGACAACATAAAAATATTTGGTTGTCGAAAAAGTATTAACCGTTTTAAACCAAAGTTGAAGCAAATATTTTTACATAATTCTAATTAAAATATGCGCCGTTTCGATCGGTGATTTTTTGTTATTTTTCTGGTAACACAATGATCCCATCACTGTAGAATCTATGTGGTTTCTCAAGGAAAAATTGTGACAAATGATTGATGCATTTCTCCATTGCAACTGAATTAATATAATTAAGGGTGCTCTATACATACCGGCACAGATAATAGTTTGATAACGCAATACCCGGACTATACGACAAATGCTCTTAAATTTGTTATGCACGTTCTCTCAATTCTTGCACAGAAGCTAAGGATATATCTTGTCTGTCATTGTTTTTAACGGAAGTCGATATCTTTCCAGTTCACTAGTTCCAATCGATTTCTTCAATGGCTTCTCGTAATTTTCTTAGTTATTTACACTAAAAATCTGAATCAATCGATTTACTAGGCGGGACCAATTTATCCTTTTCTTTTTATTCCTTTCCAATCCCACCAAACACATTGCATCACGTTCTTTGGCGTCAGTCTGGGCTTTGCCACGGATTGCGGAGCACAATTTATGTTATACTTTTTTATTTGCACAGTCTTATCGTATATGATCTACTTTTCACCATCCACAATCAACTGCTTTAGAAATGGCTCGAGTTTTCTGGATGGAAATGAGATCAAGTACATCTTTCGCTCCAAATAGTGTGGCACCAAGACGTCGAGCTTTCTTTTGTAACTAGTTTTCTTCAAATGGTCCGAGACTATTTGATTCTGGATGTTTAGTTTCTTGGTAATATCATGGCTGCTTATATGTCAGCCTTGCAGTGATTTCATCAACTTTTTTTTGTAATGGTCAACCTGTATGAAGAGCATTTTCGCATCGAAATTTTCAAAACGAAAACGACAGAATTATCTTTGGGTCATTTCCTTTGATAACGAACCTTGGCCACAAACTTTTTGAGGGCCTAACTAGCATTTGTGCCTTTATAATAATAAAATTGTAGACTACAGCGACTTTTTACAAAAATTTCACTCATCTGCAGGGCGCTGTGTTTTAGGTCTGAATAAAGGTATTATAACAATTTTAGCTAATCTAGTACCGCCAAATCTGGGTTTTCCAATGACACTGACACCGACCTGGGGCGGCTTATATTATCTGAATTATGTGGTTTCAAAGCAAACTAACTAGAAAAACGGTCGATACTTTTTTGACAACCTAATATATGGCGATACGTTTGTATAAAAATATATGAGAATAAACTCTTTTTTGCTTCTAAAAAATCGCCTGCTTATTTGACACTGCATCATCCACTTTCTTGCAGAAGACTTTAGTGTCCTAAATCTTTTTAATCTACCCTTTAATCGTCTAGCTTAGACCTATTTATATCTATTAGTTCAAGCGTAATACATATATTTTTAACTCCGCACATAACGCTTTACATGATTATGGCTATCTGGTCAAGAGTCCTATGTCTTCTTTCTGGTTCGCACTAACAAACAATCCAAAATACTCCGCTCGTTGTCTCCTATGATTACTGCTCCTTAACGTTCGAACCGATAGCATATAGGATCTCCTTTAGTAGACAATAGTGTCATTAGAGTTCGCATAATGTTACTAGGAGGCTATCGTCATCCGGATTCTTCAAAACACTCATCTGAAAGGTATCCTCGTTGCAGTAGTGCTTTACCACGCTATCATCCATCTCAATGGTGACCCTGTTAACAAAACAGAATATTTGCTACATTAGATAGCTTACCTGATATGATCCTATGATAGCTGTGACAAATAAGTTTGAGTTTTAAGGATTGAGCGTTTTGAGTATACCTGTTAACTTGTATGCGTGCGTAAACTCTCTGCTGTTTGAACATCACACAAAAGTTGCTTCTACACTTATATGAGAAAAACAAACAAAGGGGTACGGCATAATCTGTTCGATTTTTTTAAGCATTTCGGAGTTAAGGAAAGGGTTGTTTCTATAAAACTTCATCTTCTGAAAGTGAGACAGCAAGTTCTTGTCAGATGTTTTCTCATCATTAAAAAGGGGTTGTGGGAACACAGATATAACTTATCTAAGTTATAGTTACAAAATTACAACATTCCATATGTAATGAATTATATCAGAATGCGAAAGTGTGACACTAAAATTACCGATAACACACGATTTAACTATTTACAATGCAATACAGGCAATCAAAGGTTGAACAAGGGGTAATGCTTGACTTAGCAATTATCGAGCTGGTAAAAAGAGAATGGCGCTTTACTGTTTTTATAAATCTATCGTAATATCGTTGTGTAGTAAACAAAAATTGTATCCAGAGCTTAGTCTCCAAGTATAAACTTTTAAAATGCACTTTCGTTACATACTTTACTGCGCTTATTAAGGAGCTTAAAAAGGTGCCAAAAGAGTACGCGATATTTTGCACCATGTATGGTATCAACTCGAAGTATCAGAGGACTACTTGAAGGTAGTTTGTTGAGTTCTAAGATCTAAGTGAGACATGATTAAATGGATCTCACTCAGGTCGGTCATCCGTTGATGAGGACATCGAACAACAAACAACTCGTAATTTGGCAGAGAGATTGGGCTTCGAACATTCAGTTATCGTTTAACACTTCGAATATATGGAACTTCATCAGAAAAAAGCATGAGTGCCGTAGAATACGTGAAAACACAAACAAACAACCAGCGCTGAGCAACACGGAATCCCAATGACAGGTTCCTACGCAGAATTATGATTGAAAACCGGCGTCACTACGTTTATTTAAGGTAGGAAAAAAATTAGAAACACCCTAAAATATGTCTAGATTTGGAATAGGGAGCCAGATTTCTATTCAAAGAATAAAACCTGTGTTTGGTAATATGAGAATAGAGTAAAACATAACGGTCGACAAGGATATCTATATTTGTGGCCCAATACTATGAAGTAAATGAGGCTGTTCAAAAGAAAAAGCCCGGTAGATATATTGTTCTTTTGTAGGGCAATTTCAAACGTATATGGCAAAGGCCGTTAAAGCCGGCTTGCTTTTTTGCACCCACAATATTTTCTAGACCCTGCGTCGACGGATCACCGATTTTTCCTATATAGAAAATGAAAATAATAACAGTATATTTGAAAATGGAGATGTTGCCCAAAACTAACAAGACGAGCCAGTTTTTTAAGCTTACACCTGCAACTTTGACTGAACAGGGTAAGGTAGTCTACCGTGGCCGTGAATACATATTAAATTAATTCGTTGCTAATATTGGAATGAAAAGTTGTATCTATATTTTGCTATATCGAGTTTAATGCTGCGTTTTATAGCTTGACTGAAACAGAATATAGTGGTTCAAGCTATGCCTTTGATGTGTCTCAAATGGACCGCTGCTTATTATATTTACCTTAAACTACTGTAGCGTGTCTCGGCAGCCACATTTTAGTAATCCTGTGACTCCCACGCAGTCTTTCATTTTAGCAGGATATGTACTTTATTACAAAAAAAACAGTTAGATTTTCCAACAAGGCAGTGCCTTATTTTCGATGTAAAAAGTACACAAAACATGGTTGTAGGATTGTGGTGACTTTTTCAGTTAGAGTAAGACCGTTATGTATGTATTAAGAACGATTATGCCAAAATTGCACGCACATAAACACTTATGTCGTATAATAACATCTAAGATTACCTCTAAGAACGAAAAAATGTTTCGCGCGGGTTAACCTGAGCTTTCCAAAGGCCTCTAGAGACACCCTGCTTCAGTCGATTTACGGTACGTAGTTCCATCCATTGGAGTCCTTATCTCCTGAAGTCTATTAGGCACTATGAAGCACTTGCCTTTAAAATGTTAAACGATTATGTACTTACCCTTTTTTGCACTGTTTGTACAGGCTCTTGATTTTATTCACAGGCACCTTGTATTTAATCTCAATCTGAAATTCCACAGGTTTGAAATTTTACTAATGGTCATTAATTAACGTTGTTTAGCACACATTTTTGGGTACAGATTTGGCCAAATTGTGCAGCGTTATATGAGTGGATAAATAATGAAGCAAGAAGTTCGTTCATTAATAATATTGCTATTACGCCTCGGTCAAAAGTATACTTAGATAGTACTACGAGTTCTGCAAGAAAATCATAACTTTAATTTCACATACATTTCTTTATTTTAAGGAATTACTTAAAGCTCAAAGTGAAATCCAGCAATTTAACTAATTGAGAATATTAGTAACGTTGTTGAAGAGTCCTGACATATGTAACCTGTCGGCTAGTGACTTCGTTGAAAACAAGCAAATGACAACTGTACACAGAAATTCAGAGTGTAAAGAAGCTCCAATGCGATAGAATTATGAAGCGAGATATAAAAAAATATAAAGAACGCATTGAGCTGTATTCCATGTTAGGGCACACCCGCATGAATTGGGACACGTGATTCTTAAAACAAATGGTAAACTAAAACAATGTGGCTATTATAATTTGTGACGTAAACGACACAATTTTCGTAAAACAGAAAGTAATTTAATTTGATCAAATTCACTTTAACCAATAATGAAGCATATCAATACGCACTGCCTTTACAAGCCCAGTGAGGCTAGGCGGAATAATATGCAGCGGCTGAAAAATCTCTTCTTTATCTTGTCGTACGTAAATCATAACCCTATCTGACGGGAAGACTTTTAGCTTTTTCAACGGTGGAGCGGCGGACGTCACATCGTTGTTTGCCAAAACTTCACGGTCACTGCAATATTATAACATAGAACATGTTAGGCAATTCTGTTTAACGAATAATCTTCTAATTATATTCTACTTAGTCGAAACCATAAATCAAAACTGTCGAATACATTTTTAACAACCGCGACTGTAATGGATTGAGAAGAGATGTTAATATGTTACGCTAAATTTCAAATATATATATATATATATATAATACTTTGGTGGGGAAAAGTATGATATGTCATATTAAGTGTAGGAAAAAAATAAATGTGCAACGTATATGTATCGAAAATCACTCTATATATTAATAGAAGTAGATATACCTAAATATTAATCCCAAGTAGTGAAAATCGTGTTTATATATTCCACTTATAATTAACGCATACCGATTGTGGGTGTAGATGCCTGACCAGTCATGAAGCGAATCGCTTGTTGAACCCGGCCGAGAGCACGCTTCAATTCTGGAACGTACGTACCAAATAGTAAAATCAATTTGACGCTTTTGATTTATTGGTCTACTACCCATGCATAGCTGCTTTATCAATGCACTTTTGTAAGAATAATTTCTGAAGACTACCTCAGCTTTACAGAAAATCTTTCGATTTATTTAGCGCAGTTTTGTCCAAATAAATTTTTACAGAAAAATATCTAAATATTTTTAGTCCCTCATCGTCTGTGTTGAAAAATCTGTTAATTATTGCAAATTGAAGCGAAGATCCCACATAAATATACCGATAAATAAAGGTTGCAGAAAACCTACCCTTGTGAATTAAGATCACCGAGGCTTCCGTTCGTGTAATAGTTCAGTTCCGTAACGTTTGCATTATTGCCTTGGACCCCTTGTGTTTGTTGTCGCTGCTGCATAAGCTTTTCTGTATTCTCATTTGGGGTAAACAATACAGGAGACTTCACGAGCTCCGCCATGGAGTAAAACTCGGTACGTTCACATGAGGCGTGATACATCTCTTCAATTTTTTTGCGCCCATCTATTCGTGGAGTCCAAACAATTTTAAGAGAACACGAAACTTAATGTACACTAGACTTCGCATCAATGAACTATTTTTACTTGTTTCGGCCCCGTATAAAGTATTATAAAAAAACAATAAACCTACTTTGCGTGGCAGAGAGTTTTCGCTTTTGTGAGCGCCTGTCTTCGTCACGGGTCTTGCGCTCAGCACCTTTATCGCAAAACACTTTTATCTGAGAATAGCCTCGACTTATCGGTTGAGCGCCTTCACAGTACTCGTCATACGTATCAATTTGGATATGAAGCGGAAGACCTTTGACACCTTTCTGGTTGCTGAAGTCGGTAGACAAGCACTGGACGGCCACATTCATCTAATATAATATAGCAAATCACGTAGAGACAAAGAATGACTTAGTTCGACATTGTATTATTACAGTAAATGCGGTCTGGCCGAATCATTCAGCATTTGACTGTGAGACATTTGTATCTTATTAGTACCTTGGCAGGTCCTTCTAAAGGGTTCCAGTAAAAGGCAATGGCGTTGTGAGTTATTTCCTCGACGCCTCCAATTATCCCGGATGAGTTTTTTGAATCCGCGTCTAAAATGCGTTGCTTAGCTGAGTGCTGTCTCGAATGCCAGAACTGCCAAGCCTAAGACGAATAAAATCGACGTAAGAAATCTTAGTAGTGTTCCTTAAATTCGTAAATATGAGATTGTATTTATTTAATTATGAAAAATAGTTATGAGGGTGAATAGAATTATTGAGGTGAAAGAGATTTTCAAAACGAAATTTTTCACCGGATCATGTATATTCTGGTAAGGGATTCAAGATAGCGTCCTCTATTTTCACATCTCGAAATGCTTGCAGTGTTAAATTGTGATCAAATTGAGTGTTTTATTAAAAAAAATTTTGCATCAGCTGCTTCAAGAAATGTACGAGTAGATAATTTGCCTTTTACGTACCTAATTATGCAGTAACAAATATTTTGTCACGATTATTAAACTTACTTTTTTTAATCGATTTGATTGTTCATTTAAACAAACCACTAGCCACCTGACACACGCAGGAAATGACAGATACACTGAAGTGGTACACAGTGGTCAAAAGTGCATAAGCCCTCCCTAAGGGAAAGGGCTTACTAATTTCCAGCAACATTACTGCGATCCGCTATTTTCCGACATTGAATAAAGCACAAAAATAAAGAGTCTATAAAGTATGATATTTGCTACAAAAATTAAAAAACTAAATAATGGAAATAGAAATTACCCATTTACTTAAATGCGTTGTTACCGGTGGTCATACCTTGATTTCATCCTCAGCACTTTTTTCCTCACGGAAAACCAACATGATTAAGCTCTTGACGGGCGTATTTTTTAAAGGCCGTCCTGAGTCTGGGATGTACTCTAGTGTGATGCCATAAAATTGACCTTTGTTGATGTAGGTGATGCGATCATCCTCTTTACGAACTGACGTAGAAATCGGAGATTCCAGAAAGTACTTAAAACCCACTTCCGAATGGCTGCAAAAAAGCAGCAAAATGAAAGTTAGGCTCCCTTCTATTGATTTTATTGCTCTCATTACTAAAAAAATATTTAAAGATTGAGTAAGTATTCAGTGACCTAATTAAAGCCTGTTTTGTAATGTATCTGAATAAAATAGTAAGCAAAATAAAATCTGTATTAAAATCATAATGTCAGGTCACCTCAGTATTCATAGAACCACAATACTAAAAACATTCATAAAATGTAGGAGTTATAAAGTTGGGTAAGAAGTACTATGAGCAGTGTGAGACTGAAATTAAGAAACATGAAGTTTTTGTCTATGTGGTTTTTATTGAAATATTCGTCTTCAAAAGAAAGAGAAAGCATGATAGAAACTGCTTGGCTTGGTATGGCTTATACAATCTCTGTTGCTCCAAAGAGTTCCTTTACAGTTTGCAAGTATAGTTATGGACGGGATTACATTTTTTAGAAAGCTTTTTAAACCAACTGAATCTTTCAATAAATTACTATCTGTAATATTATTAGCTCGTTCTTAAATAAGGAGTGCATCGTGTACGTATTTTTCGTAATACGTACCCTTTATTTTATTACCGCACTTGCAGCTCCGCTGCTATCAACGTTATTATTTTACAGTCTACCAAGGCTGTTTGTCTTTTCGAAGGAGAATATTAGCAGTAAAAGGCCGTAGTCACGTATACAAAGTACCTACGTAACCAAGAATCGAAGATGAAAATTGAAGAAAAAAAAATAGCAGCAAAAATGTCGATATGGCAAGAGAAGTAGGAGAGGTTTGCGATGGCTTGACGGTTGCGTTTTTCCTAGCACTGCCAGGCTCGCGAATAAAAATGCAGATTGCTTTTCTCTATTAATATTGGTGGCTTTCCGTATGATATTTATTAGTTTTGAAATACTCTATGGGCATCGTTTAAGCAATTGGTCCCGCTTGCAGCAGAGAATATTAGCGATTCCGCATGCAATCCAAAATGGTGGAAATCAAGTGCTGTCTGTGACGGTGCTACCGAGTCGGCTTTCTTCTCGATCGTCTTCTGTGTCGGTTGCCTGTGCCTCTAGCGCTATTAACTCGCTCTTGCGTTTGCTGTCCGTCGTTTTCTGCAGGCAACGTTGCTACTGCTGCTGCTACTGCAGCCATCCATTCGGGCTTTTGCCTTTTCCCATCTACTTGGTCTTTTTCGTCATCGTCGCCTTTATTTTCTACTTCATCTTCTTCCGCAGTTGCTGCCACTTCTGATATTTCAACCGCCTCTATTTTTGGGTCCTGTGGCTTGGCTACCTCTGTGTAATGCTCAGCATATAACATGCACGTCTATCACACTGAGCTATAAAAGTTAGAACAAGTAATTTTGTCTAAAAATCATGTCTCGTTTAATAAGATTGGTCATAAGGCCCTTGAGTGCCATACATAAAGCTTTTATTATATAATTTTTCTTAACAAATTATGCTTTTCATCTTTATTTGTTTTAGTGTTTTAGCAGACTTACCCAGGTGAATAGAATAGTGCAACATAAAAAAACGCAGAATATCAAAAATAGTGACAAAGACATTTCCATTACATGTATAATATATCCACGATAATGCATGTATTTCTTTCCGCTGTTCCACGTAAAGTTAAGATTCTTGACAGCTTAATATCTTTATCGCTCATAAAAAGCGCTTGAAGAAATGCCACTCCTAGAATGCAGTTGTTTTATGAAAGGTGTCGCAAAAGAGTTATTGCAGTTATATCTGGGACTGGCCTTTTTAGGCACTAAATTAGCTTAACCATAGTGAAAGTATCTGCCGAAACCTAGCGTAGTAGATAGATCCGCAATGCCTTTGGACAGCATCTAAAAGCTCTTACTCTTTGGGAATGAACTGAACAGAGACTTAAGAACATGTGAGAGATAAGCTGAGCCTTAGTGGCCCTTGGGCAAACAGTTACACCCAGCAGCAACCACATAACTCCTTTAGTGTATGAGAAGCTGAAAGCTTTCATAATTTACAAACTAGTAACGATATCTGTGTCTGAGGTTTGCTCAAGCATAGAATGACTAGAAATTCGATAATTTTTGTCCCAGTTATTGAAAAGGACGGACATGTGTTCTGCCTCTAGTGAGATACAATAGCAGCAAACGAGAAGTTAATCTTCAGTAATAAGTACGCGGTGATTTCTTTGTGATACATACCATAATCGTTAATTAGACCAGTTTGGTAAGCTGGGGGTCTTTCTAATTATTATGTGAATAAATATTTCCTTTAGAGATTTAAAACTGTACATTCGATTTCAATTGCGTGTTACTGTGATCAAGGCTATGTTGCAAACTGTGTGTACGTGTGCTGACTTTATATATTATTATGCACTAAATTTTGTGGCCTTATTTTAACTTGGATACCTGGATAGAAAAGAAAATTGACAAATCAGCCAGTACCAGAAGTACCCGACAACCTCTAAATTCCTAGCAAGCTCGTCCCAATTGACGTGTTTGATCTTAGAAAAATTCTCGTCAATATCTCGAGTATATCTAAGGGCTAAACAGGACGCATAACCGACCCCTTACATGCACCTTGTATACATCTAAATTCTGATGTTTTGTTTTGTTATCAATTAGACTATTAAATGCTATTAATTAAACGGAAACCTTACAAAAGAACTGTAATGGGAAATCATTGGTTAACCTGGGACTAACAGGAGAACTGTAGCAGTCTGACGGGGTATTTGCGGGCCTTAACGGAGTTCTAAATATGGAACCGTCAAAATAACGATAATGCGACTTACCCAACGTCCGCCAACGTAAGCCATCAGGTGCACCTTTATGCATGTAACAAAGGTTGCATTTATAAGGAAGAGTAAATAAAACAGATTTAACAAAAATGCATTGCTGTAAAAGTTGCTTTCTACTGAGGAAAAAAATGTCTTTGAGAACAGTCAAATAAGTTTTGAATCGAAAAAATGAATGTGCTTCATGTGAATAAAATTTCGTCAGCCGTTAGAGGAAACGCAAATCAGAATGATCTTTAACTTCCTAAATAGAAAAAAACAAGACTAATAAGCTTACATTTTTGGTATGAGAATTTTGTCGCTTTCATTGGCTCTCCCGTAGTCGTGCCATGAGCGGCATCTTTGGCTCGTTCGAGATGTAGTCACGAGCTCTGTTTGAACCACACTGGCTACAGTTTGAGTTGTAACTTGGGCCGCACCTAAAGGGCCCACAACAACTACAGGTGTCCCTACGGAAGAACTTCCAATAAGTGGTGTGGTTGAATTTGGAATATCGGAATAATCAAATATCTGAAATAGACATAAAAAGTTTTATATTTATAGACCAATTGTACTTACGAATACTAACTTATATGAATTAGTTTCGCTGGTCTTTTGAATTTGTTTTTAGATTGAGTGACAATGTGACAGCGAATATTTCAGAAATGAGTAGAACATCAGTTGTTGGAAAATTATTCCTGGAAAGTTTGAAAATTCTAAGTTTACAGGTCACCTAAAACGTAAGTTCCATCCAAAAATTCTTTGTGATCGTTTTAGTAAACTGCTATTACTATGGTTACAGTAATGAGTAAAACGGTTATTCCTTTCCAGCAATAATTGTGCTGGTTTGAGCCCACTGATGCGTTCTTTACTTTGTAAATGCTAAAGCCCCTAAGCGCCGGTACCAATATGATGGGAACAATAACTGAGGGATGACAGCAACTGACTTTTTAGGCACCTTACCTATCGTGGCAAAAAATATAGAGTAGATATTGCAAAGACGTACTTTGGAAAAAATGATGCATGAAAGTAAAATTTAATTGACTCACTTTGAAATCGCAATAAGCTAGCGATACTTTCTATTAACGACTTAGATTTAGGCCATGTAAGGAAACAATTCTTTGTCATCTGGTGAGGGCATTGTAGGTAAATATACTAGAAGACGGCGAAGGAGCAACGCCAGAATAATCAAAGGAATAATTAGAAACGATGGCGTTTCTGCATACAATCCCAGATAGCACATGTGAATCGGTGCGGTCTTGCCTTTGTCGATTCGACAGCCACAGTCATTTTTTAAACTTGTTGGGTCCTTTAGATTACTAAATTGTTAATACTGCCATGGAATTTTCAATTTGGATATCGAAAAATATAGGAGCATTTTATGAGCTACGCCTGTCTCCAGAACTTCACCACAATCCCTCGGTAGGTAGCTTTAACGGTGATGAAAGGGAATCCAGTATCGCTCTTTTTTATGTATAAAAGATCTTGAAATTTCCACTTTAAATCAGGAGACTATAGACAAGCGCTTTTGACTTTATATAAACGAGTTCGTGTAGATGACGACAGCCATTAGTCGTCTGATGTTTTTTAAAATTGTATGGTTTTAGTGTATTAATAATTACGCCGCTTTCCTTTATCTAAAACAAAAAGAAAGAAATGGGTCTTTATTACCTTCGTTCTTACGCATTTTTATTCTGCCACTAATGTTCCCGTATTTGTATCGAGTGCAATGCCAATGCCCCTATTGTTCGCAGTTTGAGAAGCGAATTACATTTCTGCGCTCCAACCAGATCCACATATAACCGATAGTCTTGTTCTTCGCAAATTAAATTAAAGTTATATGTTTGCTTTTTATTGCACCACTGACCACAAGAGTTTGTTTCATTCTATTTTTGGTTCATTTCTGGTCTAGGTAGATCAATGAATTATCGTATTTCTGATTATGGTAGAAAGAAGTGGGATCTTACACATCGTAGCAATTCATCACATGACTTAACGCTCGAGCTTTTTAGGCGAAAGTGTACAGGAATAAAAGCATCTAAATTATGATAAATAACAACTCTAGTGAAATAGTATTATCGTTAATAAACACTGATTTGAATGGCTATCTACACAGCTGTATTCTATCGACTGCGACGGACTTCACTTATCTTCGTCAGCATTCACGTCCCGTTCATATTATAATAGCGAATTAATTAATTCAACATCCCCAAAATTAATGTGATAAACTGTAGTTCAATTAAGAAAACAGCTTTCAGATACTTTCAAGACATTAAAAATATGACATGATCGAGGGCGCTTTTGCTGTAAAAGTTCGCTAATGTGTTTCAGTCTGTCAGCATGTGCTTCACCTTGCATTTGGTTAGAACAATCTTGTTGTTAGCAGAGTTCAAAAATGTAAGGAGTCCATTCGGATATCGATGACATGAGCATTCACATAGGTTCCACCGCTGTCTTACGTAAGGTTCAGGAACGGTATTTTGGTAAAGAAGATATATTGTGTAATTCAAACATCTTTTCTATTCATATACAGTTTAGCAATAACGTATGTTGTAAATTTATATATATAGTTGTACATAAAGTGATTTGCTCAGATATTTTTATGTACAACGTTTGATTTTTATGTACAACTGAATATTTAGCGAGCTACATGAAATAGTAAGTATTATGATTCCCAGTTAGATTGAAGGGTTTTATAAATATATAATGAGCATCGCACAAATGCTTTACGTAGGCGTGGCTAATGGCAAGTAGCCCGAAATTGTACATAACGAGACGACGTTTTTGATAGTTGACTTCTAAATGGTTGTCAATTTGGACAACATGTAAGTCGAAAGCTTAATGATGTATTTAAGGCTTGTATTGCCTAATATAAAAATGTAGAGATAGGGCGAATTCTACTAGTCTTTATTGAAGCATGTATTAAACGACCTTCGGCTATTTTGTGAGTTGCTATAAATAGGCTGAAATTGTATTTTACACTAAGTTGGGCCAGCATCAAGCGGATTACTCAGTGCAACAAGACAGTGGGGAAAGAATGAGATCGCCTAATATTTTCTAATTTATTACTAATATCTAGCTATGTCTTCATGACTATGCTACTGATAGACACTACAGGTTAAGGTTCCTAATTTTTTTCTATTTAAATCTGCGCAGGCTCATAAAGTCTTATTAGAGAAGGTGTCTTGCCTTTAATTATTAATAATTGAAAGATTACATGAGAGGCATCAAGTTGCACTTAAGGCTCGAAGTAAAATCTTAAAACACGGATTTTTCCCAAACAAATTAATTATTTATTATTTCAGAGAGCTGATATTACGTAGGTGTGACTTAGAACAGGCACATTTTCGCAGCTTTATGCATCCTCCGGCATTTTCAGTTCCGGCAAAATCGCTCGGATGAGCCGACTAAGGACTTCGAAAAAGATTCGTACTTCATGTAGTTTCTTTAAAACTGAAAATCGCAACAATAACCAATATCTGCGGAAAGTATTTGTGAATTGGCTTTCGAAGTTTACTTTTAAATGCTTTGCTCTTTCTTTCGTAAAAGTTATAGTAGAAAGCCATTAGTTATGAACGAGATTATCAGTGAATGGTCGACGTCAGTTTCGATGTGTCAACATCAGGCAACATGTAAATGCTGCATATATACAAGCTGCGGCCGAATCTCTCAATATAAACATAGAAAATAAAACCCTTTTTTTTTCAGGCGATGAAAAGCTGAGCAAATAGGGCTCTGTTAAGGTGAGTGATTCTGGCTTTTACTAATTGCACTTTGGTTTTAGATAACACGAATATAATTGTTTATGGTAAATGTAAAAACAGAGGTAACTTCTTTTTGTGGAGCTTTGTTTAAACTTGCAAGTTGTTTGCCTTTCACGGTTTCTTCACCGCAGGTTTTTCTCTTTTTTATCTAATCACTTTTTCGATCGGGAAAAGTCCAGCACAATAAGTCAAATGTCGTTGTGTCTGCTCTCGTTTATTCTTGTCTTTCAGTCTAAGACTACTTTAACCTTGAGTACGTTCGCTCATTTGTTCTCCTCAATGTCTCAAGTTTTACATCCACTGTTCCCATTAAATATTTCACTAGACAGATGGCTCTCAGCATGAAACGGATATGTGGAATTTGAACTCAAACCACAATTTTATCTGCTAACTGTTTGCTCAATATGACCCTTAGAATCCTAGCAGCTCTATAGTAGTCTCTTTTTTAACAACGGAGTTAATGATGACACTGACCCTCTGTGATATTCTGCAATTTGTGCGATAGATTTGGTCGAGGGGAATGGGGATAAGAGTTTGAGACAAGTGCTGGAAACGGACAGAGACATCGCCTATAACCATCGATACAGATTGTCGTATGTACGAGAAACACGACCTCATTTTTATCACCAGTACCAACGACTAAACTAGCACCATAAAATTGTCGTCATCAGAAAGACGTAGACGGTACGAAACACGATTAGGCGAAACTTTCAGTTACCTTCAGCTCTTTTTTGGCCGTAATAGAAAAGATAAATGATTACTATTTAAAAAGACGAAGCAGGAGCAACAACATAAAAATAATAGAACGCTTAACAAACCAATATCTGGGTCCTTTCTGTCAAGGTCTGCTTTGAAAGAACAATTGTTGCGTTAAAGCATTGAAAGGAAAAATTGAGTGTAATGCTAAGAACAGTGTACTATCAAAATTTCATTTTTTTCTTTGTGGAAAAACAACATAACACGTGCGAACACACACAAATGTCAAGGCATGCATGCAGCAAAAACGCGGGGTTAAAAGGTGCTATAGCAGCAGATTTGTTTCGAATGTCAGATATAAATACATCGAGGACAGCTAAAAGACTCTACAGGCCAAATAGAACTAAACAGAGCTCCCGCAGAGCTCACTTGTTGCCCGCTGCGTGCGTCTCTATGTATGAGAGTGCAGTCGTTATACGGATTTTGTTTAGAGCGGGAATCGCCACGATGTGGTTGGTGCTGATGCTGGCCATGCAACAACCGCACCTGTATTCTGTGCTACAGAAACGTATTTCGTTAGCAACGAACGTTCAGCGCGCGGTAAAAACGTCGAAGGAAGAAGGGAATACAGATAAAGAAATTAAAGCCGATAGCAAAAAGCATCGACAGTCGCTGGTTCTTCTGCAAGTCGCAGTCATTGCTCTTGCTGCGCTTACTATTGCCACCGCCATCACGATGTGTGTAGCGGTCATTCACGTTAACAATAATATTCGACGTCACCGATCATCGCTACTATATTATTAGTATTACTTTAATGTTATTTAGCTTCAATTTTTTTAAGTATTTCTTTTATTATATGGTGTTAGAACAAAGTGTTGGGAGCTAAACGCTGTTCTTTTTTTGATCAACGGTCATAAAGTGCATAGTTTTCAATAATTATTTTATCGGTCCATTTTTCGTAAAAAACCCATATGTTGAATTTAAAGTTCCATACGGCTTTTGTTTTTCTGCATTCTTTTGATGTTGTAATTTATATATATACGTTTATACATATATAAAATTTTTAAACGTTTTTTCAATACATTACGTAGTTCTAACTGTATGCAGTTTATCCGGATAACATTTCGTACATGTCGGCAGTTGTTTGCACAAACGTAAAATGCACGCCAATTCAATGTTTTGGATGACCGCGACATTAATGACCGGCTAGAGATTTAGACCTCTTAACTTTCGCTTAATTAAGGTATACTTTTTTCTAAAGGAATAAATGACTCAACGCGGAGCAAACCTACGATTTCCTGAATGTGACCTAGGGTACAATGGGCAAACCCGACGTTACTTTTTCTCCCTACCACAGATTAATATGTGCCTTAGTTCAGTACGTCAAACAAGACATAGATAGACTATCATGAAGTCAATCTGTAAAAAATAATAATCCCTAAAGCTAGCATTATGTACTCTAGAGCAATGCTCTTCAATACTACATAATAATTTTCAATAATAATTTTGGGGAAGTCTTTAATATGGGTAGTAATTTGTACATTCTTTTAAACCCACATAAATTAACTGTTCAGACATCGTGGTTGCACACATTAAAGAACATAAATGTCTTCATATTTTGATAGATGATATCTTTTACCATTAGTTCGTTATAACCGAGATGATTTTTCGCTGCAGCGTAGCCAGCATCCACTTGATCGATTTTCTGTCAGCTTAAATTAGTTATGTCTTATAAAGGATTTTTTTTACAGTTCTATATAATCACATGCTACCACCTTTGAGTAAAAACTCAAATAAAATGGGATTGGGTCTTCTGACTTCGTTACACAATGTATCATGTCACATGAGAGCCAGAGTTGTCCACGCGCATACGTGTCTATGGCAGATTTGGTGCTATTGTTTTTGTTATTTCGTTCGTTATCTTTGTAATAAACTTATAGCCAGGAATTTTCATTTACATTTCATAACAAGTTATACAACGGAAACAATAAATTTATTAATTAGTGTTGCTCCTCGTGCCGTTAAACTCTTTTTTGAAAAAAAGTTACCCCTTTGTTGGGGATCTGCTAGATGTATAAAAGATCATGTGTGCAGAGATCGTAGTGTGATTCATTTCGGGTACAGTAGCAATAACGATCATGCATTTGTGCATTAATTTACCGTTGTTGTATGTTATTTTCTCGGTGAATATTGTTTTGAAGCCAAACATCGCCTGAACTGTAAGCTAGATGGCCAACGTCATCGTTGCTGCATACATTCTTGGTATATGCCTGTCCATAAATAAATCGTATACGTCGACACAGGGTCACAAAGACAGACAGAGTTAGCCAAACATATCCATCAACGAAGTCATTATAAACAACCGTCCAGTTTTGACTGCTACAAGGTGCTGAATGAACTGTCACGAAGAACGACAGTCCACAAAAAAGGACGCTCGACAAACCGCCTTTCCTGTGGTTGCCGAATAGTAAAAATCTAGAATATAAGAAAAAAAACCTGAGGTGATGGGCTTACATCGCCGGATTTTAGATGCCTCAAATCGAATAGAGCTATTGTACCTCTTCTAGTCTACTTTGGTAGGTTTTTGTGTAGAGTAACTGCTCATAATCTTGGCATATTTTAAGCAGGGGAAATCAATCCCAACACATCAGTAATTCTAAGCCAAATAATGCACCCATGATTTTCGCCAAGAGCTTCCTTTGTCCCAATTAGCAGTCTGCAGCGGATTGTATCTAAAATTTTCTCCACAATAAAAGCCGTGATTTTATTGCCTGCAAAAATCAGGGTGCAATTGCAGAGAGATTTTTCATAATTTTATATTATGAAGTAACTTGTAGCACCATAACCGTGGTGAAAATTGCTCTATTGGTAACGACAAATATTAATGAAACCTTTGGCATGAATAGTGGTGGAACGTTGAGGCTTTGGAGTGGACACTGATACCCTAATAGCAATTTGCAAGCAACACTCACAAACAAAATCTTTTTTTTTGTTCGTTATATCTTTTCGCAACGTTTCTGTTAGAGCTTTAGAGACGTTGTAATTTATGCCATGCTTATCGCTCTTTATTTTGTTACTAATTTATTTGGTTACTATTTGCGTATTTATGCTGATAAAAACACACTTAAAAATATCTATCTAATATACAGGACTACAATTCATGTAAACTAATAATCACGCGCACAGGAAAAAGTATATCATGTTGACAATAGTCTATTCGAGGATATGAATATACTTTGAATGTTTAACATCGGTACAAGGCATGTTTGCACATTCTAATACTTTGAGCACAAGTCATTATAAAAATCATCGCGTCTTAGCTGGCGATCGAGCCTAAAATCTCATGTTTATGAATTCATCGTTTTGCTTACTCCGTTACTGTGGCAGCCAAATGTGCAACGAAGATAACGGGGTACGCACAGTATTATGGGAGTACAGATGCAATCGCGAAATTGTATGACTATAACGGGTTGCTGGCAATTGTTACTTTTGTTTAGATTGGCCGTACCATCAACAAGATTCAGAAATGATCTAAAGAGCAAAGAGCAACAACGGAAAACCCCTACGTTCCTTATCATCATTAGAAAATATCGCATAATAATTTAGGAAAGAGTCACTACGCAATTCTATAATATCACTGTGGCCAAGAAATCTTTGTGTATCGAAGTACAGTCTAAGTGGTAAGTGTAAATGGGCGGCGGCTTGTCAAGGTCCAATGCTCCATGTCCGGTTGAGACTAATAATTTTTAATCGTTATCTTTGATCTTACTGTTGTTCTACCACCACTACATTATGCTTGAGCATTACAGCACGTTCGGTTGCTGGTTTATTTGTTTTTCGCTTATCGCTGTTGCCAATTTCACCTGATCACGTGTCTACAATATAAAGGATTTTCTAGCCGACGAAGCCACCGTATTCCCGAAAAGCTAGTAAGCAGGGTTTCTATGGTACCGTATCTGTTTTTGTTTGGTGTGCTGGGCGTATTTGGCCTCGTGTACCCAGTAAATCAAAGTGGAGAACTCTTTGAAATGAGTCCATCTACTCCATTCTAGCATCATTTCAGTCGTTCCACGCGATGTCCCTAGCGCAAGCGACCTTGACTCCAACGCTACTTGCTCAAGCAGTAAGCGCAAATACCATCGACGCAACGCTGCTTCGGCGCTGTTTTGTTCTACCGAATGATTCAACAATGTGGAATAAATTAAGAGAAAGAAAGTCGCTGCTGGCGTGAGTAAACGCCACTGCCGTCGCCGCCTCGGTTTCAATTTGCGGGCTGCCGTCAGCGCCGCCGCCACTGAAACAAGCCAATAATTTGACATCACCACGATCAGCATCATCTCTCCCCATTTCGCCATTCGTCGTCGATTTTTTGGTTCTGCATCGAAATTTTCCCGTGTTTTTTTCACCACGGCGACTACCTTTGTATCTCGAAATTCAAGGACACCAAACTTATCTATTGACTATCTATCTCGATTAGAGAAGCCGAAGATATCTACCGACCGATCCCCTGCGGTATGCAGGCGTTTGCGCCCGCAACGCGCTATTAGTATAAAATGCGTATTTGCTAAAGTAGCGCCACCGCGTATACAGACTTACCTGAGGAAGACCTGTCGGTTCTCGAGGTGTCATAGTTTCCCCAATCCCTGAATCTGGAGAAGGTAAATCGACCGTGAGGCCATTTAAGGACGCTTTGTATCCTTGAAGTTGAAGGGCTGATTGAGAACTTTGGCGGATGTATCGCTCTACAAAAAGCGGGTCCGTAGATGAGAGAGTCGTTGTAGTTACGCTAGCATTGGAAAGTACGTCGGTGGGAAATGCAGTCACAGTTAAAGCCTGTTGCTGAGAAGTGCTTATAGCTCGCGTACTAAAGTCTCCATTTCCTTGGTAGTAGTCCCTGAAACAGAGGTTGTTTAATGAATAAGACACCGCCAAGCAAGTTGTATGCAAGCGAAAGAAAGCGCCTTAAAGTCGATGAAAGTGACCATAGGTTTAATTATTGTGTAGGTTGTGAACTGTTCATGCACCAAGTTTACGGGTTATATTCACGAAAACGTGCTTCCCAGAAGATATATATA